GTAATTAACGTTAAATGAGACAACGAAGGTGGCACCCTAATCCAATAGAACTGTGGCCTTACTATAAGAGGAAGTGCTCTCTCTCGCCCTCGCTCTGTTTCTATCTGCCCCTCTCTCTTTCGTATTCTTTCTCTCTCCCCACCATGTGAGGACACAGAGAAAAGGTAGTCTTTCACAAGCCAGGAAGAGAGTTTTCACCAGAAACCAAAACCTGACAGAAACTTCATCCTGGGCTTTTCAGCCTCCAGAACTCTGAGAAAATAAATTTCTGTTTTTTTAAACTGTGGTGGCAATTTGTTAGGGCAGCCCAAGAATGCAAATGCATCATCTTCATTATAGTCTCTCTCTGCCTCATTCATTCTTCTATCCTTTTCATTTCATTAAAAAACACATCACTATGTAACATAAAGTCTGGATACACAGGAAATGTTTTCATTTGTTCCAAATTTTGAAGAATTTTTAGTCTCACGTATGGGAAGAGAACATATGAACCAGTTTCAGAAAACAAATAGTATGAATTTGGAAACATAGTTTCTTGAAGGCTGAAAAAACTAAAACTATGAGTTAAGGTTTTCGAAAATGTTAAAAAAAAAAATGGCCAGGCACGATGGCTCACGCCTGTAATCCCAGCACTCTGGGAGGCTGAGGTGTGCAGATCATGAGGTCAGGAGTTTGAGACCAGCCTGACCAACATGGTGAATACAAATACATCTCTATTGCAAATACAAAAATTAGCTGGGCTTGGTGGTGCACACCTGTAATCCCAGCTACTCAGGAGGCTGACGCAGGAGAATCACTTGAACCCAGGAGGCAGAGGTTGCAGTGAGCCAAGATTGTGCCACTACACACCAGCCTGGGCAACAGAGCAAGACTTCATCTCAAAAAAAAAAAAAAAGAAAAAAAAAGGAAAATGCTACAAAAATATCATTTTTCTTTACGTGGAAATAAAAACACAAGGAAGAAGTAGAATAACTGCTAACTACAATCAATCTTTTTTTTTTTTTTTGAGATGAAGTTTCACTCTTATTACCCAGGCTGGAGTGCAATGGCACGATCTCGGCTCACCGCAACCTCCCCCTCCTGGGTTCAGGCAATTCTCCTGCCTCAACCTCCTGAGTAGCTGGGATTACAGGCACGCGCCACCATGCCCAGCTAATGTTTTGTATTTTTAGTAGAGACGGAGTTTCACCATGTTGACCAGGATGGTCTCGATCTCTTGACCTCGTGATCCACCTGCCTCGGCCTCCCAAAGTGCTGGGATTACAGGCTTGAGCCACCGCACCCGGCTACAATCAATCTTATTTAGAAAAGTCAGTTCTAAAAGAGCATTTCAGCACCATATTGTCAAGCAATTAGGAATAAGTACTTTGCATTTAATGTGTTTAATTCTTTAGATTCGTAGATATTACGGCACAATATCTTGAATCAACTTGTAAATGTTTATGGTCATGGAAAATTTTTATCAGAAAAAGTATTGGCCGGAAGCAGTGGCTTACACCTGTAATCCCAGCACAATGGGAGGCTGAGGCAGGCAGATCGCTGGAGGTCAGGAGTTCGAGATCAGCCTGACCATCATGGTGAAGCCCTGTCTCTACTAAGAACACACACACACACAAAAAAAAAAGAAAAGAAAAAAGGAAAAATAATAAAAAAAATTAGCCAGGCATGGTGGTGCATGAAAGCAGAATCCTGGAATTAAACATTGACTAAGATTGGTGATAAACTCTAGGGAGGCCTAGAGGAGATAACTACATAATCTTGTAATTTTATAAGCGTTTTTAAGCATTTTGAGAAAGTGTTAGCAGTAGTAGCAAATGTAGGTAATACTAAGCAAACATGAAAAATAGCATGATTTGCAGAATGTGGGTTTGGATGTTGGCTGACAGTGGGGACCGTGGACATGGTTGGGACATGTGGTTTAGGGTGATGAACACAGTGTTTGTATCCCGAGTAAATATCTCTGGATCGGTGTCACTGTGTGTCACAGACACAGTGACACTGCATACATAGGGCGAGAAGTAGCAGCACTTTGAGCCTCAGTCTTCTTGCACAAAAATGCAGGAAATAATGTTCACCTCCTAAGGTTTGGAAATGATTGAATGCTTTAATGTATGGGAATAGAAGGCCTGCTGAAACTGATGATTTCTTCAATATAAAAATGATTTTTTGGTAAGTAATAATTATAAAAAAACAAGCAAAGCCTTAACAGTATGCAAGAATCAGTATGAGAAGAGCAGAAATTACGTTGCCACGTTCCGGATACTACCTCCTACATTTTAACAGTTGCTGAGCCCTGGCCAGTTCAGTTAGCTTCCAGCTGAATCTCTATTTTTTCACTTCTAGAGCAAGAATTATCACAGTTTACATATTATTTTCACTTTAACTTGGTGCTAAATAAATGGGAAATAGATGTAGCAAATGTAGAGGAAACGGAAGCACAGAGACATTAGAAAACCTGCAAGAGAAAGCAGAGCTGCACCGTGACACAGCTGGAGATTACACTCAGGCCAAAAGCCGCGCCCTTTCACCTCACTGCCTCCTAAGGAGATGCAAATCTATGACGATGCAAAGCTGGCAGGGATGGCTCATGCACATTACCCTAACAATCGAGAAGCTGATTCTGAATAAAAGAGACAACACTTAAATAGATTTTGCTTTAAAATTCAGTGGCTCCATTATAGGTTAGGGGAAAGCTGGCTGGGAAATTGCAAGTGTAATAAAATTCTGACAATCTCTTTTCTCTCTTTTTCTACATTCAGTTTAGAAGGTTCTGTGAAAGTTTTCTTTGATCACACATTTTAAACAAATAGAGCAATAAAGAAATTATAAGAAAACCTAATAAACTGTTTCCAACAATAAAAATACCATTCATGTAAAAATCTAATAAAGCTATGCATTCTATACTGTTAAACCATGGTTTTTGTTTGTTTTTTTGATTGTTTATGTAACATTTTTTCCTTTTCATTCTTTTTAGTTTTCAACTTTTGTTTTAGATTCAGAGGAGGTCACCTTTTCAAACTGGATGTTAAATGGACACACAGGAGTCCTTGGAAGGGAGAGTCTGGAGACTTGCTATATGACACTCTCTGAAGGATGTGGTATTATTGGCAGTGCTACTGTTACACAGAATTAACATCATTTTCTAAACGCGTTCACATTTGGAAGAGAGGAACATATACCTGAAATTTTTTTCAGTAGGAAATTACATTAAAAAACTATTGAGAGGCAGGCATAGTGGCTCACACTTGTAATCCCAGCACTTTGGGAGTTTGATATGGGCAGATCGCTTAAGGTCAGGAGTTTGAGACCAGCCTGGGCAACATGGTAAAACCCCGTCTCTACTAAAAATACAAAAATTAGTCAGGTGTGGTAGTGCGTGCCTGTAGTCCCAGCCACTCCAGTGGCTGAGGCAAGAGAATCACTTGAACTTGGGAGGCAGAGGCTACAATGATCTGAGATCATGCCAGTGTGCTCCAGACTGGGTGACAGAGTGAGACCCTGTCTCAAAAAAAAAACAAAAAAACCCCAAAAAAACCAAAACAAACAAAAAAACAACCCCCACCCCCAACACACACACAAATTTTGAGAGGTCAATTTTGGATAAATAGGAGTTATTTTTCTCCAAGGATTTTCTCTGGGCAACACCACTGGAAGTAATTTGGTTTTGGCTGGGCCACCAACTTTTGGGAATAGTGCAAAAAGAAGACTACTTCATGAAATTCAAGGGTGATTTAAATGGATACCTTTTGCCATCCCCTTGTTCCCGTAATGTTAGAATTCTTTTTTTTTTTTTTTTTTTACCAGTGACTCACTCTGTTGCCAGGCTGTGCAGTGGTGTGCTCTCAGCTCACCGCAACCTCTGCCTCCTGGGTTCAAACAATTCTCCTGCCTCAGCCTTCAGAGTAGCTGGGACTACAGGCACACGCCACCATGCGCAGCTAATTTTTGTATTTTTAGAGAGATGGGGTTTCACCATGTTGGCCAGGATGGTCTGGATCTCTTGATCTTGTGATCCACCCGCCTTGGCAACCCAAAGTGCTGGGATTACAGGCGTGAGCCACCGCGCCCGGCCTAGAATTCTTACCTAGTATTGAAATCTTGTTTCCACAGACACCTAATCTAATCCATTCTTCATGCTTACCTGCTTGAATAATCTGCAGAAATTGCAATCCTCATTTTATCATTCAATTATTTTAAAGCCCATACGGACCCTCCAAAGAGCAACATGTGACAGCCGGCGCCATCTCTGACTTGTCGTATGTGCCATCCCATGCCCTCTCTCTCACCAACCTCATTCTCCACCACTTGTTCCAACCACATTTAAAAAGCACATAGTAGTTTCAGATAGACAGGAGGAAGGGCTTTGAGATCTATTGCACAGCAGAATGACTATAGTAAATATGGTGTATTATGTATTTTAGGATGACTGAGGGTACATTTCACATGTCTCACCATAATAAATGATAGGTAGGTGAGGTGATGGATATCTTATTAGCCTGACTTAATCTAACTCAGGGGCACAGAACTCTTCTCCTTGCATACCTCCTCCTCCCCCACCCACCGCCACCCAGTGAACAGTCAGCATATTCTCTAGAGCATCAAATTTAACAATTCCATTTCCAAGTGTAACCACTCCTAGGAAATTAAAAAAAAAAAAGCTTAAAGGGTGTTCCTTTAGCCGTCTACTTTTAACCTATGTCGAGCACTTTTTAAATTCTAGAAAGACTAGATGTTTCAAACAGGACTTGAGTTTTCCACTACATACATAGTAACATTGAATAAATGGTGCATATACATATCACAGGCCATAATTTGAAACTGTCTTCTAAATAGGAACATTCTAGCCTAGGACCCTGCCCCTTTTGACCCTATCAACTCTGTGGGCAGGTACAAGCATCCGTAATGTTTAGAGGGGAATTTAACAAGTTCGTTCCTGTGTTTTTAAGAACAGTCTTTCCTATTAATTTTTAACAACACATGTAGTCAATGTATTAGTTTACTAGCTCTACTTTTTTCATACACTGGCAAGTTCTTTAACATCTGGAAAGACCAGCTGTTGTAAATTAGGACTCATCTGTCTTTTATATACACTGTATATACAGATAAGTAAAACAAAATGCACAATCATAAGAAACAATGGTGAGTCTTACCTCACTGCAAGCACACTGGCGTAGAGCTCTCTGCACTTCCCGCTCCTCCTCTGAACCAGTCCACAGTCGCCATGCCACCCCCCACCACAAAATAACATTTCCTGTGAATTTTAATGAAAAGTTATTTACACAAAGTGTCATTTTACTACCTCTAATTTTAACATATATCAGGCACTTCAGAACATCTAGAAGGAATAGACATTTCGAAAAAGCTTAACATTGTTAACTATATATACAGAAGTGAGTAGTAAAATGCACACAAAACAATGGATAGAATATGAAAATGTCTCGTAACTATGAGCCATCAGCACTAGCAGGTCTCGCCCAGCTCGACAGAGCGGTCGCCCAGGACGTGCGCCTGCTGGCTCCGTGGGCTAAACATGTGGCCGAGCCCGTGCCCCTGGAGCCTCCCTCATCCCCCACAGCCTCATGGCCTCCTAGTTTGTTCGGATGGCGCCACGTTTCCTCCCAGCTCACCCCAGGCACAGGGCCGACGACTGGGAAGACGTGGGGGGCTCTGGTCTCCCCGTGTGCTCCCAGCATTATCAGAGTTTATTATCCATGGAGGGTCCTGGAATCCACCCCCTTCGGATACTGAGGAACAGATGTATAACAACGAAAGTTTATAAAACAAGATGACAGTCAACATGTGTATATACAGCAAAACCCAACAAAGACAAATTAACAAAACTGTGATAATGAACAAACAATACATGTATTTTCTTGGTCTGGAAATGGTGTGAGCACACTGCTTTCAGATTTCCATCTACCTTGAACTCAAACAATGTTAGAAGAAAAACGATATCCAAGTACCCCGTCCTCCAAGGTCCGTTTGCTCAATGTAAACTCGATGTTCCTCCTCAGAAGGGGCTGGAGTCTCTAAATCAGTGCCCGTGTGCCTGCAGAGCCACAGCAGTTCTCTAACACGGTGTGCCGGAGGGCATTCTTTACCCCCGTGTTCCTCAGGGTGTAAATAAGTGGGTTCAGCGCAGGAGTAACTACGGTATAGAAGAGAGCTATGAACTTGCCCTGCTCGTGGGAGGTGCTCCTGACTGGCTGGAGATACATGAAGATGATGCTCCCGTAAAACAGGGACACCACGGCCACGTGGGAAGAGCAGGTGTTGAATGCCTTTCTCCGCCCTTCTGCGGACTTGATCTTCCACACCGCCCAGGCAATGTGGCCGTAAGAGAAGAGGATGAGCCCCAGAGGCAGGACAACAAAGACAAAGCTGGCCAGGTGCATCTCCACCTCATTGAAGCTGGTGTCTACACAAGCCAGTTGCATGATGAGGGGCATCTCACAAAAGAAGTGGTCGATGCGATTGTTCCCACACAGCGGTAGAAGCATGGTGAGCGTGGAGCCCACCATGCTGGTGGTCAGACCCCCCAGCCATGAGGCCAAAGCCAGTCCCAGGCAAAGCTGTGGATGCATAATGACAGTGTAATGGAGTGGCCTGCAGATGGCAGCATAGCAGTCATAAGACATGGTGGCTAGCAGGACACACTCGGTTGCCCCCAGCCAGTGGGAGATATAGAACTGGGCCACACACCCTCCATAGCTTATGGTTTTCTGTGGTCCCCACAGGTGGGCCAGGAGCTGTGGGACAATGCTCGTGGTGAAGCTAATGTCCAGGAAGGAGAGGTTGGCTAGAAAGAAGTACATAGGTGTGTGGAGGTGCACGTCCATACAGGAGAGCAGAATGATGATGCCATTGCCTGAGATCGATACCACGTAAAAACCCAAGACAACTACGAAGAGGACCGTTTCTAGTGAGGGTCGTGCAGAGAAGCCCAGGAGGACAAAGACTTTTGGAGAACTCACATTGGCTATTTCCATCGCCGTATGCTGGGGGTGGGTGGGGATCACATGAAGTGATCATATCAGTTAGCAAACATTGAAAGTAAATTTTATTTCATTTTCTCTTATTCTTTTTTAGAGACACAGTCTCACTATGTTGCCCAGGCTAATCTCAAACTCTTGGGATCAAGCAATCCTCCCACCTCAATGTCCCCAGTAGGTGAGGCTACAGACACATGCCACCGTGCCTGGCTAAAGGTAAATTTTATACCCATTGTTTTCACAAGCATCCACTCAACACCTCTGTGGATGGCATTGCATTACCTTCCTCAAGGCCAATTTGGAATGTATAATAAAAGACTGGGGGGTGTTCATTATCTGGGGAAAAATGGACATTCATGCAAAATTCTTAGCACTCTTTTTTAAAATTGAAATATTACTTACAGTAGCAACATCCAGAGTCTACCTAAATGTTTAGCAACGAAGGGTTAACCAGGTAGAGTGTGGTCTTTCATGTGATGAAACACTGCACAGGCGTTAAAATTGTGCCCTCTCAAACCCCACAACCCTGCACATTTTTGCCGTCATTAAATATATGCAGTTTTTTATCCCTTCTCACCACCTCTGCTGCTACCACTCTGGCCCATCTTGCCATCACTTACCATCTGAATTTTGATCTAATATTCTAACTTATCTCCCTGCTTCTCCTTTGCTCCCCCCTTTCCAAGTACTCTCAAAAAAGTGTTGGAGCTCAGAAAATGATACCCCAAAATGAAGGCCTCGGGAGCAAAAGTTTCTCTTTCTCCTGCTTTGTCGTCCCTGGCCCCTCATTCTTCCCCGAGGCTAGCCATAGAAATTAGAATCCCTCACGGTGACTCATAGAAACCATAGGCCCTTTTCCTCAAAGGCAGCCATAAAACCCAAAAATGTGACTCTACTTCTACCTTTCTATGCTAAAACTAGCAATAAATAAATTATCTGACATACCTTATTGGATTGTAGGTCATAAGCCCTCCATTCCAGAGAGGTCTTACCCCATACCCAAGAAAAAAGGCACACTGCTCAGAGAGGCCAAAAAGAATCTCACAGACGGTCCTTGCTGGGCTTCTCCACTCAGTCCATCAGCATTAGATCACGCCCTTCATGTTTAATCGCATTTCTACGCAGCTATCCATATGTCTTTGTACCTAAGGATAAAAATGAAAAGTTTCTCCTGTATCTTTGGGTTCTCATCTGAAGGCTCCTCTGTCATGTAAAACTATGATCGAATAAACTTGTATGTCTCTTTTCCTACGAATCTGCCTTTTGACAGCTGATTTCCATGAAACTTCAGAGGACAAAGGGGAAATTTTCCCTCACGCCTACAAAAGCAATCAGAGGACTACATTAAGACATAATACGATCGTGTCAGTCTGTTGCTCAACACCCTCATTTTCTTGGTACAAGGCTTGCAGATGCAGTTTGCCGTACTCGAAGTGCTTTCTCCCCAAGATATCCACACACCCCTGTTCTCACCTTCTTCAGGTCATTTTTAAAAGTCACCTTCCAACTGAGGCCCTCCGTCACTGAATTACATAATATTGAAAACCCTCACAGCTCCCTTCTCTCTCTTTCCTGAATTATCTTTATGTAAGGTAATAACTTATAACAAATAAACCACTCATTTCTTTTGTTTGCTGTTTTGTTCCATTAGACCATAAGTTCCATGGAGCCACAGTTTTCTCTTTTGTTTGCCTCTGAGTCCCCAGTGTCTAACCCAGTGTCTGATATGCAGTGGTCCCTTAATCAATATTCACGGATGTGCATTGTGAAACAGGTTGCTAGAATGGTTCTGTGGGGTGGAAGAAGCAGGACTAGAGTAATATAAAGGACAGTGGAAGGACTCAGTGTAAACCTTCAGTAGTGTTGTCAGGAAAAAGCTCTTGAAACTGCCAGAGGCATGCAGAGGGGTCCAGACTATCCTCTGTTTTCATACAAATGGAATAAAACAAACTACCACTTAGCAGGGGGAATGCATAAAGTCAGAAACTGGACAATTTCAGGGTGCTTCAGATATCCCTGAAGATCTCTGGGGCCCTTTGCAAAAACATGAATTTATTCTAGCCTGTATTTTAAAAAGAAGAATCAATCTACTGAAGTTAAAATTCATCATTGTAGTTGGGGAACAGAGCAGCTGTGAACTTCACTGTCAGCCCTTTTAAAACCTCAGAGAGAATTTACCTATCCTTGTAACTGGAAGTCAATAAAACAACATACACATGACCAGACATGTACATTCACAGTTTTAAAAATACATGTAGGTTTTCCATTGTGCATATATAGAAATGGGGCTCAGAAAACTCCAGGCATTTGCTAATATTTACATGTGGAAGCTGTCCCAGTGCGGACTTACTGTGTCAGAACACTGAGACAGTCATCTGACCTGTATGTAGCAGGCCAGGGGAGCATTAGTACTGTGGGAGAAGGCATCCAGGAGAATACATTCCAACCTCCTCCAAATCGGGGAGGCAGGCCGGGGGTGGTGGCTCACGCCTGCATTCCTAGCACTTTGTGGGGCTGAGGTGGGGAATCACTTGAGATCAGGAGTTTGAGACCAGCTTGGGCAACAGTGAGAGACTGACTGTACAGAAAAATAAAATGACCAAGTGTGGCTGTGTGTGCCTGTAGTCTCAGCTACTTGGGAGGCTGTAATAGCATGATGTGTCACTGTAGTCCAGCCTGGGCAACAGAGCAAGACCCTGTCATAAAACAACAAAGAAACAAATCAGGGAGGTTGTTGAGACCTGTCAGAACGTGGATGTTTTCGTCATGTGAATGTGAGAGAGACCAATTGGGATTGGGATAGTTAGGTACAACTGAGTCAGGACACAATCAAAGTGGGTGTCTATATGCAGAGTCACTGCAGGTGAGCTGAAAAACAGCAGGTTAAACTGACAACTGCATTATGACCCATGAGTGTAAGTATTATATCCCCTCTGCGGAGAGATAAAAATTTTGTTAACTCACAGTTGATAGCATGTGGAAAATGTGTAAATGATGCCAAGAGAGGAACCACAAGGTCACTCATGAGGTAATAGTTCAGTAGAATTTTTGAGGAAAAAGAGATCTTTGTGATGATCTATTTCTAGATATGTTTAGTAACTTATCCAGAGCCCCAGAGCTGCTTAGTCATACTGGAGCTATACCCAAGGTATTCAGATTCTTAGTACAAAAATAGCATTTTCAGTAAAGGAAGAGGTTTGCTTACCCACAGAGATTCACCAAAATCGTCAAAATTAAAAACTCACTTTTCAAAATGCAACCCTATTCCAAGCACTGTGCCATTAAGACAAAGATAGTATACTGAAAGTTAAGGAAACATCTTGACTTCACATTTTGTCTGAGTTAACTACCTAGTCACAAACGGTATCCCAGAACATAGGCGACCTGCTAAAATATCAAAGGCCACATGAGAAAATCAGATCATTTAAATGGATCAGTGCTCATCAATCTCAATTGAAATTACCAGAAATCTGAGCTCCCAGTTTATCTTTAATACTTAAATACCATAAACAACAACAACAACAAGCAAACGACAAACTCCGAAACGTCACTTACTCATGATGAGCTAGCAATGTCATCTCCATTTATGCAGGGTGGAAACGTTGTAAAATGGGCAATATTTTATTTCAAGGACTGATAACATTCATGAATTCAGTGCATGTGGCATTAAAAAATAGGAGATCAGCCAAGGGATTTTAAAGCACCTCAAACAGTAGAAATCTCTAAGTCCATGGTAGCAGAGGTGCTAGATTCTGTTCAAATTTATGTCTACAGGACACATTCTTAAGTATTTAAATCACAATGGGATTGAACTAGAAGAAAGCACTTAAAATATTTTGTAAGAAAATTGATAATCAAAGGAGTGAGAATGGCTCATAGTGTTTCCAGAATGAAATTATATGCTGACTCCAAAGGGCGAAGTCTTACATAAAGTCCTTATAATTATAAGACATTGATTGTAACCCCTGGAGCCTTCAGGAGGGAGCCTGAGGGTGATGGTATATATCAGGGGAGTAAAAGCGGAGGGAAAAAATCTTTTGGGATTTCTTTCCCTATTGGGTAATTATAATTTTATTGTTAATACACACACAGAATGGTTTCTTTTTTTGACTAGAACATTATTTTAGGCTTGTATACTGCCAAACTGCTTACAGAGTGTAAGGATTAAGTCTCTCTATCATGTAGTGGGGGAGATACTCTGAGATATTTGTTCATTCTATTAATTTTGGCATATGCTGCTATAGACTCCTTTTAAAAAATACATTGATTTTATTATTGGTGTATACATCAGTGATAATGTTTTT